TATGGTTATGATTCTGGTGTGAAATAAAGCACTATAATTACATTTAAGACTGTTTCCCTTTTTTTAAGAAAAGTATCGAAAAAGAATCGGAATCGCAATTCTTGACTTGGTATCGAAACCAAAATGTTGGTACCGTGACAACACTAGCTACTCCTGACAGTTAAACCTGATATTTAGTAGGTCTGTTAAGTATTGAATGCTGATAATTCTGACGTAATTTGGCCGGTCAAAGTTGTTTGGGCTCGGATAAAATCGCTCCGTTACTTTCGTCCCGTGTTACTTTCGTCCCGTGTTACTTTCGTCCCGGCTCTCCCTATGTGTGTCAGGTGTCAGTATGAGAGGATGACAGCGCGTCTAATTTTGATGTGGCCCAAGAGCCAATCACAATAATACCTGCGATGCAGTGAACCAATCACCTTTGAGGGGGGGAAAACCTATCGTTGATTAAACACTATCCAGTGTTTCCCCTACCATTGTCTTGGAGGGGCGCTGCGCCCCGCCAACGGAGCCCCGCCCCCCCCCCCCCCCTGAAATTCAAGGTGTTTAAAAAATATATATAATATATATATATATATATATATATAATAATTGCAAATAATCTATAACTACTGTCACTTTTCACATTGAACATGTGCTCTTTTATTAAATAAACTAAATGCTTTCATTTGAAGTTGTGAGTTTAGTGTTTTTGACCCTAAGAAACACTGATGCAATAATCAATAACAATAATCCACAGCTGCTCTCTCTGCTCCAGAGGATTTAAAAAAAATATATCCCAATGCCACAAAAATGCATCAGTGACGTGGTTGAAATCTTGTCTCCAGAAAACAAAAAACTGAAACAAGCGTTATCAGTGACTGTGTGTTTGATGTGGCTCTTTGCAGTAACATAGAAAAAATGTGGCTCTTAACCTCTGACTGGTTGGCCACCCCTGCCCTATATGATCGGCTGATAACTTTCTAACCTAAGACTGACCTTTTGCTTAAGTATGCCCACATTTGCACACTATTTAGGCAGCTAGAATTAAATCTACAAAGACTACAGAATTAGTGAACTTTTGGACAAAAGCCCTTTGCAAATCCTACTTAAGGGGGCGACAGGCCAGCCTGTGTTTAAAAGGCAGAAGTCACAGGTGCACTCATCATAGCAGACAACTAGGGATGCTCCGATCGATCGGTCACCGATCGAGATCGGCCGATACTCACTCTCTACCGATCGATCGGTGCTCTCTAAACATGCCGATCGCGAGAGCATGACGTAAAATACATGACACTTTTCTCTGTGTGCGGCAAAACAAGCTCGCCAAAATGGCTTCATCGGTCTGGCATTATTTTAAGGTGTCCGAAAAAGACAGTAAAATAGCGGTATGCAACGTGTGTGAAGCAGAAATCCTGCAGCTCCGCCCGCCGGACTGGTAAGCGGAGCGAAACACACAAGAGTTAGACCTAACACACTTAGCTATTTCATCTACCTCTGGAACAAGCTAAACTAGTTATAAATATATTTATTCTTCACTGTCGGGTCACTCATTACTGGATCAGTGAGCTGCATGAGATACTGACCGGCTGTCAGGAGAGGGAGAGAGGGGGAGAGGAAAAGAGAGCGCTTCCGCTCATTTCTCCCGTGTTATTATCCAAAGTGAATGTAAACTTGAATAATGTACATCATTTGAATGTAATAATTAAGTTGATTGTTGTTTGTGGAAGCTCCAGTGAATGAGCCCCATTAACTGAGTTTTAAACATCACTTTAAATGGAAGATTTAAAGTTGAAATCTTCCATTTAGGCCCCGCCCACTCGATCGGATCGGCGATCGGTATCGGCCGATACTGATTCCGGCCCCAAAATTGGCGATCGGAGCATCCCTACAGACAACACAAAGCAACAACCCCCCTTCTTCCCAACTGGCACATTTACATTCAGCAAGTCAAAACACAACTCTGGTTGAGGCCTGATTAAGCACCAGATGCCAGTCAAAGGCTGAAAGATGAGCCTAGCAATAATTCCCCGTGAAAGGTGTGCTACAAATGTCCTAAAGTTGGCAGTGGTGGCCAACATCAGACTCTCTGTTTGGCTCGAACGGGGGATGAGGGAACATGAGAGGATAAGAAACAGGATGAGGGTACGTGATGAGAGGAGAGAGGATGGCTGCCTCTAGGCACAGTGGGGGAGGGAGCCGCTGGAAAGACAGTGGAAATGAGGGCCCTCACTTTAAAATCAAAGGCTGGATCAAAGAGTACACACACACACACACACACACACACACACACACACACACACACACACACACACACACACACACACACACACACACACAACACACACACACACACACACACACACCACACACACCACACACACACACACACAACACACACACACACACACACACACACACACACACACACACACACACACACACACACACACACACACACACTACACACACACACACACACACACACACACACACACACACACACACACCACACACACACACACACACACACACACACACACACACACACACAACACACACACACACACACACACACACACACACACACACACACACACACACACACACACACACACACCACACACAACAACACACACACACACACACCACACGACGAGATGAAACAACACCACACTACAAAGGCCACAACTGAGACACAACTCGGCAGCAGCAAGACTTGTGTATAACTCGGTGTGTGCACGTGTGTGACATCTAATCCTGTGGGAACTGATGTGAGAGGCCAGAAGAATATCCAGTGATATGTCCTCCATGGTTTAGTTGTCTTAAAGAGCTCATTTCTTATTACGCAGCTGAAAACCAATCAGTCATACCTTTTACAGTATTCCTAAGGACCCTACATGTGGAATCCAAACTATACTACCTGTCAAAACACACAATGCTGTATGATTCCAAACATATTGTGTTGTCTTGTAAATGTAGTTGATAAAAAGGTGGAATGCAGCCATTTCACATTTAAAAAAGTGTTGGATTTCATTTTGACTGATTAATACTAATTACAATAATCACCCAAATCATATACAAGCTTTATTGTCTAATTCTGAGAATTCAGGTGTGATAAAAGGAATTAAGAGCTCCCGTTTAAAGACCCACACCATCACCTGCTGGTGAGCCAGTACATAGCATGTCTGGAATAATGAGAGCGCTCTATTTGTATGTTACAGCACCTGTTACTGCTGACATAAATCACCTATACCTTTTAGTAGGGGTGCACCGAATGGGAAATTCTTGGCCGAAACCGATACCGAAAATAGGAAACAGTTGGTCGAAAACCGAATGCCGAAAGGCCGAAAATGATTAATAGAAATATATATATAATATATAATGTATACATTTTTTACCAATGTTGTTCAGCTACCTGATTATGGAAATAGACATGATTATGGCAAAACTTAACTTAAATAATAATCACTATTATGGGTCCATAAAACATTTATTCAGCACTTTTGAATGCATACAGTACATTTATATGTCATGTATTATTGCTAAAAAACATTATATCACAGTCTTAGTGTCGCCAACTCGTTTCTAATATGCAAAGACAACAAATGCGTCTATGATGTATTTTCGATCAGACGAGATCTCTCTCCCCCGTCTGTGTGCGAGGGGGCGGGGCAGTTTACACACACGCAGCTGCTACATGCAGCGGAGCACACTGCGGAGATGGCGGAGAGAACGCGCTCCGAGGTGTGGTTAAACTTTACCCGTCTCGATGTGGAGAATACTTGTTACCATAAGTGCAATAAGAGTTAGCATGTAAGCACGAGCAATTTGTCTAAACATTTAGCAAAAGTGCACCGCATGCAGACGGAGGAATGTACCGGGTTCGACCGTCTTTCTAGCAGCTCTGTAGCTCCATCACGAGTAACGTTCCCACGTCAGGTGTTATGTATGCTAGCAGCAACACACGGAGTTAACTACATTATACAAACATGGGTTAATGATTAGAGGAAACTGAGTTATTTAGTTTGTTAACATTTCAGCTATTCTGTTTACAGTCTGTCATCAGATTATTTAATACGATTTGTTAAAGGCTCAGGGCAATCTCGATGACAAAGGTCAATGTCCCGTCCCCCCCCCCCCCTGTGAGCCAGCCGCGAGCATGGTCGCCGCGTCTTTATTACGTCATCACAACAACACGTTAGGTTACCAACGTAAGCCTGTTCTGACATTCGGTGATATTTTTTCGGTGCTAAAACCCGAAAGCCGAAAGGGCCTTTTTAACCATTTTCGGCCGATAATTTTCGGTGGCCGAATATTCGGTGCAGCCCTACCTTTTAGGACTGATAGTTTATCCGTCTGCCAGTTATTCATGATTATTTCTGTGTGGCAGTTATGCATGGCAGGGGAAATGGTGCTATTGGACTAAATATAGAAATTCTACCCAAATCTACCCAATCCATTTCCAGCATAGCAGCTGCATGGATGAAAACAGACTTGAACGCATATGTCTCACTATGTGTGTGTAACTGAAACAGGATGCATGCAGGCCACACAGAGGGCTAGTCCTGAAATGAAGAACAGGCACAACAAGGTCTGTCCCGATAATGACTTTATCCACTTATCGTACATGCCAGCATGTTGCCAGAATAAACAACAGGGTTTTCCCAATGAAAATAAGACTTGGGAATTGTGTGTGGACCTTACACATTGTAGTCAACGGAGCTAGAGATTCATGTTATTGATTTTCTTTGGTTGTGTGATTTTATGCTTTATTTAAGGGGCTTAAGAGGTTAAGGATATCAAATTCAGAGTTCAATATTTGAATAGTCTTAAGAATTAAAAGTTCATTGCTGATAAAAAGGGTATGCAAATATTATCATTATAACAGCAGCATAAAATGGCAAAACTATCATTTATCACAAGGTTATTATCCTATAGCACAACAAAAAGTCATGATTGGTTGTTCGTGACCCGCAGCAACCATCAGATTCAGTGTGAGGTGTATTAGTGTGGTGACTGACCTTTGGCACGTGTGGATTGAACTCAACAGCTCTGTGTATGGCCTCCACAGCATTCATCTCTGCCGTGCTGAGCCCTCGCCGTGACGCGGCCTCTGGAGAGAACCTGAGACAAATCACCTCAGATGACACACTGTAGCAGCTCACATTGTTATTAAAGCTGCTCTTAGTGCTGACATACAAAACAGGTTTTAAAAGATACTGAGTGGTATGCAAGATTCAAAGGATATTTAAAACCAAAAGGACACATACTTATCTGATACAGCCCGTGCTTTCAATAGTGCTGATGTGTAGCATATAGTGGCTGATTTTGGCAAGCTGATGTCTACAGTGGCAGAGGAAATTGGGGGTCATGTGACATATCTCATATTTTGTCAAGCAATGAGAACATTTCAGTGCAAACATAGTATAATTTCTTCAGATTTCTTGCGTTTTACCATCATATTTGGCGAGGACTGCTTGGACATCAGCATATGCCTGAAGCTCTAGAAGTGCCTCCAAGAGGTTTTCATGTATATTTAACATTCCCAACAGTGGGAACTCCTTCATTAACTGTGAAAATTGAAAATATCACAATAAATATGGATTTTGTTTTGTACTTCTTTAAGACCAATGTTTTAAGAATAGTACATGTTGCCCCAGATGCATGCTTATATACAAAAATAACACTCACATCTCTCATCATTTTAACTGCTTCTTTAATCCGGCCCAGCTTGCGTGCACACATTGCCATTCTACGTTTAATGTACACCAGTAAGTTGATATCTTTTCCAGCTGTGGATGGCAAACAGAAAATATGAGACGATTAATCAACACTTATCAGTCAATCGATTTTAAAACAAGAATATCATGGATACAGCTTGTGGTCTTGCGTAGAGGAAAAGCAATGATGCATTGATGGCATATTGCACCTGTGACTACATCCTTCATCACAAGAGGTTGTGGACAGATGTGGCCTGATCTATTTATAGCCGTTCTGCGCTGCTGGCACTGCACAGGGTGTGGCATGGCATGTTGCATTACTATTTATAAAAGTGGGTGTAGTTATTCCTAAACTAGTTAGCTATCATTCAGCTATTGAGCCTTGTGGTTTAATATGCATTACTTAATGTTTATGTTAATCCATTCTTACCAATAATTAATGCTTTTTTGAAGAGGCGTTCAGCTTCTGTGATAGTTGTTGCTTCTTCCTCTGCTAGGAGCACATAGGCTGCAGCACATCTGCACACAAATAAAAGACACAAAGAGACAGATTTCAACAGCCCGTCCTGTTTGCATGCACTTCAAAAATGTAGAGCATTAAGGAAATCATTTGAACACGAAAGCCCAAATTAAAAGGCCATAATATCATTACATTTATTTGTTTATTTATGTAATTAAAGCAAGCAGAATTACAAAAAACGTTTGCGAACTATCATTTTAAATGCATTACAACAGTACAGTAAATAATATTTAGAAGATACAGAGTTATACTTATTAATACAATATTTAATGAGACAGTAGAAAACTGAGTAAGAGGAGGACTCACTCCTGGTTCATTTCGATGGCCTGGTAGGCTGCTCTGATCCTGGCTTGAGGATTTCTCTCTCTCCAGGCTTTCTGCATAACTGTAATGAGATGAAACTCAAGGTTAATATCCATGTTGACTCGCAATCCTGACAATTCAATCAATTCAAGAAACATTTCTGTTTGAACATTTACAAGGAACCAGAGATATCTCTTCCAAGGAGCAGTCTTTTGCTTGAACATTCTTAAAAACAAAAAAAATTCATCTTTGTTTGATTGCTAGTCACAGAGTAAAACTTACCAGCATCTTCTGGCCGTAATTGTGGAGTGTCTCCTGTGAAGAAGGTCTGATGGTCTTGAGCAGACAGGTTCATATCGTAGTAGGTTAAGGGTTCCTTCCCTGTCACCCAGGTGTACCTGTAGTGTAAAATATAAAATAATAACAGTTCAGCTACAGTTTTATGATCCGCAATGTGTGAACAGAAATAAAGCAATTTTCTTGGACAAAGACACACTATGAGATGCACTCCATACTGCTAAATCTGAATTACACATACCTGTTGTATTCTGCTCCTCTGAACAGATTTAAAGGGTTCCTCCAGACCTTACACTCTATCGAAAGAAAGACAGTCTCTATTAGTGCTAGTAGTATTATGAGTCGCATTGCTGTGATAGTTTGTATTATATGCATATTTACCAGAAACACTGGGCCTGGGCTCTGCCTCTCCATTAACTGAAGCAAACAGACCAGTGGTGGAGCTGCTCTCCACTCCCCCCCAGCAGCGGACGCAGGTGGCTCACTGACACTTGTTCAATGAACGAGGTCCCATATTTACGAAAATACCACCACTCAAATATCTGCGGAAGAAAAAACATGTTTTAATAAAGTATGCAATAAGAAAATAAAAGCTAGGTAAGTGAACCTTTCGTGGCAATTGCTTTCATATCACTACACCGTGGATCCTTCTTACAATATTTTGCCATGCCCATGGAAGCGTCCAAAAACTAATTTAATGCAATAATGGAAATCTCTGCCAAAAATACCATTTAAAAGAGAAGATAAGGCTCTTTCGCTATACTGATGATAAACGTGAGCTGGTATTTTTGTAAATCAAAATCTTTTGATTTTCTCCCCTGCGAAGAATCTGTTCATCTACATTACATCAGTGCGAGAGCACAACATTAATTGAAAATGAACTACTTATAAAGCGCTTCGTCAGGTCTTTTCCACCCTTCAAAGCGCTTTACATACGAGTCATTCGCCCGTTCACACTCATTCATACAGAGCAGTGTCACTTGCTCAAGGGAACCAACATCCACACACACTTTTGGCAAATCAGGAGCAATTGAAGGTTAAGTATCTTTCCCAAAGATACATCGACATATTGACTGCACGGAATGGGATCGAACCCACAACCTTATGGTTTAAAGATGACTGCACACTTGCCAAGAAAACGTATACAATGGTAATGTATTGAGTGGCTGGACAAATGCTAACCTTAACTAGCCATTTGGCAAAAGATAATTTTGCTCCCTGCATGCCATTATTCTCAGTACATACATCTTGATATCTTTATTCTACATAGCCTTGCCAACATAAGATAACTCTTGTTTGTTTATTGCTTCTAAATTATTCTGATTTATTCAACCTTTGTTCTGCTCCACTCTCGCAAAGTGTTTTCACCCCCTCAGTTTAAAAACAAATGCACCGGGTGTACTAGAATTTATTTTTCATTAGAGCATTTAATTTAATAGTGTCACTCCTTACTTAAACTAGGCTTTGACCACTGTGTTTAATCTTGGATTTTTGAAAATTAACACAGAATTTGGGACGATTTGATTGTATTGAAGTAAGTGGCTTAGCATCAAATATATTTGTAAAAATGGTTACTATTAAACAGAGGTGTTACGGTGCAAGGAATAACTTACAAGGATGAGTCCAGAGATGAGAGATGAGGTTCCAGTGAGAGCCACATAGAACTTGGGGGTCAGTGTATTCAGAAACACTGAGGCTGAAAGAAGAAGGGGAGACAGTTAGTATTCTGCCATAATGCTACCACGTGTCCTATGTTGGGACCGTGCAATTAAAAAGAACATGCACCAAACCACATTTCAACAGAAAAGCATGGCAATAAGATTAGTAAAGCCGGTGGCATGTAGCCTTATACCTTTTCCCGGTTACATTGTGCAAAAATTAGCACACAACAATAAACTACCCAATCGTGAATACATCCGATACACGCTGCTGTTTGAAAATAAAACAACGCAGAGGTGGCATACGTATGTAAAGGGTCGACTACGAACTAACCAAAACATTTCTTTATTTGTGCATGAATGAGTCAGAAACCGGACTGTCAAACGAACAGCTCCCGCTTGCTGTCAGCTAAAGCCAGCTAGCCGATGCTAACAATAGCTAGCTAGCACTTGCTTTCATTCACCTGAGGTAAGAGTTTCCTGCAGTTTCAGCGGGCTCCACAGGACGTATATCATGATCAGAACCATGCCGAACCAAATGAAGCACACGTAGGTCCATGACCAGGAGAGCCAAGACTTTAATTTCTCTGTAAATCCGAGAGATTGGGGATTACTGCCAGCGGTGTCCTCCATGTTTCTCCGGATGCCTGTAAACAGAGGAGTCACGTGATCACCAAGTAAAATGACTTCTATTTTGAAATCTCCACAAAACCACATTTCCGGGAACTACAGAACAACTTTATTTATATATTTTTTTAAATGTACTCATTGTCTAAACTCAAAGATATGTTAATGAATATGTAAATAGTCCATATCTTTTTTTTTTTTTTATTCTTTATTTATTTGGGGTCACATTATATTAAAAGTACAGTTTTTCAAATCAAATATTTTTAGAGACCCGAAAATGACAAATGAAATAGCAAACAAAATTAGTCAAAATAAAATAAAAACGAAAAGTACACAGGGATTGTTTGAAATGGAAAATGTCTACACATGTACCATAGGACATGTACATATGCATATCAACATACATATACAATACACGGACACACATACATGTGTCCATACATACACACCTACAGTATATACATTCAATCGGTGTATAGAAACACAGTCAAACAAGGGATGGTCGTCTTTGGGATATGTAAATTCTCCACTTTTTCCATATGAAATAGTCCATATCATAGCATAAACATAAGCTTACATGGAATAGAGACTGAGTAAATGATGAAATATGCCCCAAATATGATTGGGGTAATACATATCAATTAGATTGGGACCAATTATAAATTATTCACTTACATTGTATGTTGTGTTATAATAAGCTATCTTACTCTTAGACAGCACTGTTGCAGCCCACCATAGGCACCTGAGCTTTGCTTTTTATCTATTTGGTTCTACTTTTAATGCGTAGGGAAAAAAGAAAAAACTAGTACTATGATGCATTTTTGTGTCATACATTAAATTACCCAACAGTTAAATTAAGTTGCCTAATCGTACTCCTCTGCCAGTCAGCTGTTAATATAAGGCAACAATGATCTAGCTGTTGTAATAATATTGTATTGCACCAAGAAGCATTTCGTTTTTAACATTTGAGAAAACACTTGGCAATCCTAGAAGATGATCGCTTTTTGTTTTGCATAACCAACAGTTGAAATCCAAAAGAAAATCCATGAATTACACTATCATTCAGAGAGAATGGCCACATCATCAGATTTGTGAAGCTGGGGCCAATGTTGTTGGCATTTTTGTTCACCAACTAATTAACTGACACCTAATTGATTATTTAATTCAACTAATTCATTTCATTAACATAACTATTTGTAATATAGGCCTTATATTAATGATGGATAACCTCCACAAGCTCATTTCAGCTGGTAATACTATTCATGACCAGTAGGTGGGGCCATTACCACATTGAAACTTTTACTTCTGTTGCCATCAACTGACTGCAGGTGGAGACAACATTACATTTGGTGTTCTCCCTCTTAGTATTGAGATTCATTACAATATTGAAGAAATGCCCTCTTTCTTCGGCCCGATTTTCACTACCAATTCATTTGTGCAGGCCTAATCTAAAAAGTAAAAGTTTTAATCAAAGGGTGGGATTTTGTTGAATTGCCAATGATTGTACATTCAGAATACTCTCTATTCCTATGATTTACATAACATCAAAAATGTACTTTGTCAAAAATAAACAGTTCACTAAGATCGTTGCTATCAGGTAGAAATATATTTTTGGATGCATACAACCCGTAGCACTTCTCACCTTGTGCGATTGACTCACATCCCACCATGTGCATGTGATTTGTTGGAGTGCATTCTAGGTGGAGGTTACAGCCATTGAATGACAGAGAGCCAGATTTGGTCCTGCTCACACATGCCCTTGGGTGTTTTCTGCCTGATGCTGATGGACAAGCACACGCGGGGTTAAAGGCCTGTCATATAAATCAGGTACAATCACTTTAGAGGTGAAAACATGCATGATGCCACTGACAGGGAGGAAGAGTGAGGAAAAGAAAGGAGGAATAAAAGCAACAGAGGTCTGTGGAAGTTATCGGGGTTGTAAAGCATGACCTGCATGTCTGAATGTATTTCCTGCTGAAATCATATTTCCAAATGACCTCTGCTCAGTGACTCATTCTTTGATAAAACATACATGTAGCTCCAAGAATATACTGGGTAAACACTGTTATCTCCTCTTGTATTAACACACCACCACTTTTATCGGTTGGATCTCAACAGCAGTCAAATAAGATAAATATTTAGATGAATGCAAGGACATTTTCAGAATGTCTTTATGTATCTGAAACACATGTTATTATAAAACATTTTATATTATAAATACAAATTATATACAATACATTTCAAATATAAAACATTGATACACAAATTGCAAGCAATGGACCTCAGTAAGTGGGACATGACCTGTACACAACCGGTCAGCCGGTGTCCAGTCAGGCAGAAGCAATATCTCTCATCATTCTGCAGTCACCTGTATACTTAAGGTTCATTTACAATTTCTCGTCTCTTATCCTTTCTGCCATTCTGGACTTCATGTTCTGTTTATGTAGTTTCTTTCTTTTCTCTCCCCAAAGCTTTTAAGAGTCCTCTAATCATACATAATTAATCAGGGTTTTCACTTAAATGCACTGCATTTCTCACTCTCATTATTACTTAAGAGGCTGCTCTTTAAGGCTCGAAAATACCCGGCGTTCTGTTGATCGTATTTTTACAAAGCCAGCTGTTTCAATACATGAGGATGTTTAAGACAAAGAATATACAAAACATTTATTAATATCTTAGAGCGTTTCCAGCAAATGCTGTAATTTCATTACTTCACATACAAATTCTAATTGAATCTGCTTGCTGTTAGGGAAACATTTTAGTCAAACCTGAGCAGAGATTTATATACAATACAATTTTAATGAGTAATAAAGTTTGGTCGTTTGTCAGCTCTGTATTTGGTGGTCCCTGCTGATGGAAAACTTTATGAAACTGGTTCTTGTCTCCCACACAGCTTTCTCTCTGTGAGTTTATATTACTCGTCTCCATGAAGGGACTCTCCCCCCACAAGTCATTTCTCTCAAAACACTTCATTTTAAAAAATGTGTGTTCTTTTTTTGCATTAGGAGAACGTGCCGTTTGACCACATCTGAAAGCGATGGTGCCGCAGAAAAATGACTTCCTCCATGACAGGCTCACGGACCATGCAGCAACATTTCAACCTTTTTCTCTGTGAAGAAGAGTGGACGGGCTCTGCTGCTGTTTCATAACTACAATGATGACTAATTTACACCACATTATGCGTCAGCAGAGAGGATACTCACCGTTGAAACAGCAGCCAAGAAGATACATTTCATGCATACATTCACCTATGTTATGACTGCTAAGTCCTCATTTTAATAGAATGGAATATAATGTATTTGTGGGAATGTAAAAATGCAAAACATGCAATAACAACATAAGAGTGCAGCAAGCAGCCTCTCATCCAGTGTGTACACTAGCTGTTTCATTGTATACAACTGCAGCCAACTGTAAGTATAAATGGAAGAGGCAGAGATGAATAATACATATGAATTACCTTCATGCAGTCAGGGTCTTTCTTTCCACTCCCCTCTGCTGCAAGAACATCATTTTTAGAAACAATAAGATTTAAAAGGCAAGGTGCTCATATAAAAAAATGCAGATATTGTTCACGAACATGTTGCTTCAATGGTTGCAGGAGCTTAAAAGGTGTTACAGTACTTTCTGAAAGGTGTTAAATAGCTTTTGTACTGCACACAACAACATGTAATGAAAGTCTTTATGCAGTTTAAATGAAAGCTGTAAAGATAGAGCAAAACCTGCTTTCCTAAAGCTAATAAGGCTGCCTTTGTTTGTGCTGAGACGACATGACTGACGTCATTGGCAAGTTGAGGAACTGTGTCCACATTCTTTATTTTCTTTGACACCGTTTTTTTAAAACACATTCTCTTAACTCAATAGGTCAGTTGTTGTGCTACACACTGTTGAGCAAGCGGATATGGGCACATGGTGAATGTTTAAATCCAAAATCCCAACATATACATACATTTTTAAAAACACTAATACAAAAATACATAGTGCAAAACAAGTTACAGAGATGATGTACTTCTTATTATGGGTTGTTGTATCACTTTGGTTGTTATTCCCACTGCAACCACTGTAGTCACTATAAAAGTAACATAGCCATTCAAATGGCTATACTTAAGCACATGTGGATTTTCCGGCGAATGCTATTGACAGCATGGTTAGCATGGTAGGTACGCAGTTCAGTGTTTTGGAATGCTACAGCGCCATTTTCTTTTCAATACTAAACACAAAATACAACTAAGGCTGTGAATGTTTGTATTTGTAAGGTAAAGTTACAAAACCACAGATGTCAGATGGCATCAGGTGAACAGTTAGAGGAATACTGAAGTTGGTAGGGATTATTTTATGGGAACAATGAATGTCTTTACAAAATTCCATGGCAATCCATTTCCAAAATGTTGAAATATCAAAAGCTGAAACAACAAAACAACAGTCATTTGCCATGCTTAGAGTATTGTCATCAACAAGGTTAAAACAGGTAGTGCTACAGAATTAGCACAACCCGTTTATAGCACATCACAACAATACCATCAGGTGATAGATCAAACTATTCAGAGACTCACAAACCTTCACTTTAAGCCATAATTAGGTAACTGACTCCTTTCACAGACCCTGATGAGGTTTGACTGAGAGCATGTGAAAGAACACGACAGCACTTGGGTCTCTGTGGTTTAAGTCCCCATCTCATTCAACGGACCCTGATTGCAGTTGCTGCCGTTGAGAATCATGTAACCTTTATGGGATGGTTTCAAAGATGACTCACAGACTAGCTAATTTTAGAGGGCTTTGTGCTTTAGATTGGCCTTGAAGTATACAATTATAAAACATGAAACACGGTGACACAGACAAAGAAAGAGGCACACTCAGCTGCCTTACACAATAATAGTCGTATGTTCAGCCTCAATGGAAAAAGGAAGAGAAAACAGCCTTGAATTTAAGAAGCATCTTTGAATATTTAAATGTGCTTGACATGATTCACACTACTGCCTGCTCAGTGATTTTACTACATCTTTAGGTAGACCTAACACCCATATGTAGT